TTTACGAATACCTTTATTATTATTAAAATTTAAGTAATTTTCAAATAAATATTTCAAAGTCAAATACATAATAATTGCAAATAAAATCCTCAACTTTCTAATAAATTCAAAAGAATTTAATCAAGTCTTAATTTAATCGAAACTGACTCTAATAAATATCTGTCACACGCCTGATTCTCAATATTTTTAGTATCGTTACTAAAATGGTGGACAAGAAAAAAAAAGGTAAGATATACTCTTAGCAAGTGAATATTAGGCTTCCTCTCTTTATTTATCAATTTAAAAAATGAGCATGCTAACAAGAATAAATCAAGTGTTAAGAAAACTGGTATAAGTACAGAAAATAAAATAGATATTTTTTCTATAAATCATGGTCAACATTTATAATTTTCTTATTAGTGGCCATAAAATTTGTTAGTGTATGATCTCACAAGCAGGATAACAAAATATAATAAAAATGAATCGATTTCATAAGTAACATATTGACATGTGTCAACATTGATAAATCTCTGGCTAACGAGCACAAATAGAAAATGACTATATTGGAGACTGAAACACACTACCAAGTGCAATTCAAGTAAATATGCTTATTTAAAAAATGAATCGATTTCATAAGTAACATATTGACATGTGTTAGTATTTATAAACCTCTCACCACTTATGAGCATAAATAGAAAATGATTATATTGGAGACTAAAAGAAGCTATCAAGTGCATATCAAGTGCAATTCAAGTAAATATGCTTATTTCAAGAAAAATATAATGATAGGAATCAAGCAGCATGTATTAAAAACTCTTTGTAAATAGGTTTGCTTAATCAAATAAAATTCAACTTAAAATGAAATGAGATTTGGTCATGGTAACTTAAACCAAAATAGGTTTTTAATTTTGTCATTATTTCAAAATTGATAAAAATTATGTTTTAAAATTATAATTTAAAACCAAAAATAAAATCATAAATTCACTTTTGATTTTCACAAAAAAAAAAAAAAAAAAAACCATCCATGTCTTCGTATTTAAAATCACCTTTTTACCCTTCAATTTCCTTTTGTTACTTTCCTGGATTAGGAAGTGAGGGACAAAATAGTTATTTAAATATTAAACCATTGTTTCTTCTTTTTCTATAGCTGGCATTTAGGAGTCTGCGTTCAAACTATTCCCTTTTCTGCTTTACGCAGGTCAATGCTTCTTTCACCAGTTACTCGCCGCCCACTCTTTTCTGCTCTCCTTTTGTTCCTTTTCTCTTACCTTTTTTCTACCATTATGAAAATGAAAAGAATATGCTAGCTATTGTTG